AAAGGCAAGTTTCCCTAGGTTTGGATACCTTTGAGGCTAAAATCGTGTGAAACGGCAAGGATCTCCAAATGTGAAGAATAGAACTTAGCCGGAGAAAGGCTAATTACCTACAACGGGCGGGCGTGGAGAGTTGCACGTTGCTGGTCGAACCTTGACAAGCGTCAGTTCGGAGGTCGTAGGAATGGCCCTGTTTGAGCTCCTAATGACGCCTTTCCCCAGCTTTGCCAGGCTGTCGCAAGCCCGCATTTTGCGGCTCCTAGGCATATCAGCCTTAAGAGATTGTGTTCTTGGTGTCATGACTGATTGCTGCGAAATCTTGTATTTCATGCCTTTTTCCGTAATGTCATTCTGTGTATATCCCTAGCCGCTGTGCAGCTGCTGGCAGGGCTCAACAGTGGGCTCCAAGGCACGACGGAAGGAGTGAGTTCCGTAAGCGAGCCTTGAACGTCCATCTACCATGGAAATCTCATTTCGCCACACTAAATTTGACAGATCAGTTGTATGTCACGAGTTTGCTGGTAAGCGACACGACAGTCTGTAGAAAAGTGTGGGCATACCTTTAAATATATCAGGTTAACAATAGGAAGCCGAAATTGGACTGAATACTTGTAGTCCAATTAAATGAGTATGGTGAATATCTGTTCAAACGAAAGAACGTAGCAACAATTTAAGCGTGGATTTTAAAAAGGATTATAATTTAGTTTCGCCTCTGTCGTAGACAAGGCAGTTTGGGATTATCTTCCATATAACATTCCACACAACATTCTTAAGGCCTTGGACAACAGTGTATGAGTTTCGGTTTCAAGGTGGAAGAACTAATCGGAAGAAAGCCTTAGTATTTTTTACCGAGACACAGACTGCGATTTAGGTAGATGTTTTGAAAAAAGGTGGTGCGTTTGTGCATTTCGCAACGCTCCTGTAATCACTTGTTACCTTCAAATTTATGTTCGGGTACCCGGAAGCAAACATAGGAAATTGGCGTAAATCTTTGGGGAGAAAACTTTTGACGCATGATCCGAAAATCGATGTGAATATTTGAGGTGAAACTCGTCAGCCGCTGCAGGATGACCGCGTAATGTTCAAAAGCACGAACAGATAGTAGTATAAAATACTGAATGATTTACCACACTAACAACACAGCTATTAGTTAGAAGTCTATAGACTTATGTTTCGTCGATTTACACTGTTGCATTTCGCAACTGGCAGGACTCCAATTCCCAGTTAGTCTCCTCCAATTTCAAACCCATTCTCTAGTTATTATTTTGATGTACAAAATTTGATCGTTAGGGTCTCCAAGGATGCTAATCACACGTAATTTACCTGAGTGATACAACTGCAATTTTTTAAAAGAAAACTGTCCTCTGACTTTAAAAACCCTTTGTGACGATGCCTGATGCGTGACCAGCAATACAAAAACTCCAGTATTTAAAGAAAGAAATGGTTGCAGCTGATGTGTGAAGAATTTAAAGAACGGGTATAAAATGCATCACTATGCATCGCTTGCAGAGCGTACTTTCCATTGCAACCGTGGCTCCAATGGTTAATTTTTAAAACTTTGAAAATTACTGTAGCATCGCATGGGTAGTAGGAAGTTGTCACACGTGCGTACGCAGTGTCTGATATGCGAAGACGACATAAGTCAGCGGCGATGCTGACGACCGTGAGGAGAGGCAACTAAAACTTAAGCGGTGCTAGTTAGGTGTCTCTAAAAGTCACCACGGTGCCCGGAAGCTCATAAAAATGGAAAGAGTTGCAGCTGATTTGTGAAGAATTTGAAGTACGGGTATAAAATACATCATCCGGCACCGCTTGCAGAGAGTACTTTCCATTGCAAGCGTGATTCCAATGGTTAAGTTTCAAAA